TTTTTTTTTTTTTTTTTTTTTTTTTTTTTTTTTTTTTTTTTTTTTTTTTTTTTTTTTTTTTTTTTTTTTTTTTTTTTTTTTTTTTTTTTTTTTTTTTTTTTTTTTTTTTTTTTTTTTTTTTTTTTTTTTTTTTTTTTTTTTTTTTTTTTTTTTTTTTTTTAGGGCTTGGCTCTGAGCTGATTTCCTGTCAGTCCAGGTCCTGCCTTCTCTTCAGTAATACTTTATGGTTCTCATGGAGTTCCCAGCCATGATCCCAGCCTTCTTTTTTTTTTACCTTAACTACCTAAGGGGATATATCAAATCGACACCTCTGAAAGTTTAATACCTGTAAGTTCTGGCCTGCAGTCTTGAGATAACAGTGTAGGCAACCCTCTGGGCCAGCACAGGGAATTAAAATGTTTCTGCCAAATTGCTGTGAGAAGGTCCTTTCTCCATTTGGCCTGAAGTTTGATGGGGAGGAAGGGACATTTACCAGGTGAGAAGAGGCACGTGTAGAGCAGGTATCCATAAAACCAGACGTTCCAGTGAAGGACATTTGTCCGTTCAAATAGCATTAATAAAAATTAATGGCGAGACACCTACAAAATTATCTCTCTTTATATGATCTGCATCACAGGAGTTTGCAGCTCATATACTGAGTCAGATGCACCAAACCTGATACAGTGCAAAGGACAGCTGTTACACCATAAGCTGTGGTTTTATTGCAGGCTGCGAACTCCAGTGTAAGAGAGACAAAGGCCACTAGAAAAGTGTTAGATCCCTGCAAAGTTCACAGAGATTACAAGAACTGAGAGAGAAATGGAAAAACCAGTCAGTATTTCAAACATGGATGTTTCTGCCAGGCTTTCTTTTTTCCCTGCCAGGATAACTAGCAGTTACAGCTGGACTCATGAGCAAACAATAAACACAGGTTCAGAGTATGAAGACCCCCCCAAAGAAGCCTGCTTTGATTGCTGGAGACTCTTTTCTCCATGCTCAGACCATGCCTTGTCCTCCAGGGCCGTGCACAGTAGGTTTGTTTCACTGCAGCTCCCTCCAGAGCCCCACACTGACAAAATCCACGAGATTTGTGTCCTAACCTGTTGTGTGTGATCGATTCCTTCCAGGTGGCCATGGGTTTGTTTCAAGTGGGCTTTGTCTCGGTGTACCTCTCCGATTCATTGCTGAGTGGATTTGTCACGGGCGCCTCCATCACCGTCCTAACCTCACAAGTCAAGTATCTCCTGGGCCTGGACATTCCACGGGCCGGAGGCATCGGCTCTCTCATAGTCACCTGGATAAACATCTTCAAAAACATACACAAGACAAACATCTGTGATCTCATCACCAGCTTCTTGTGCTTTCTTGTTCTTATCCCAGCCAAAGAGCTTAATGAACGTTTTAAATCCAAGCTCAAGGCTCCAATACCAGTTGAACTGTTTGTGGTTGTGGCAGCTACTCTGGCATCTCACTTTGGGAAGCTGAAAGAGACTTATGGCTCAAGCATTTCTGGGCACATCCCAACCGGGTTTCTGCCACCCCGCCCTCCAGACTGGACCCTCATTCCCAGTGTGGCTTTGGATGCTGTTGCCATCGCTATCATTGGCTTTGCCATCACGGTCTCCCTCTCGGAGATGTTTGCCAAGAAGCATGGTTACTCTGTGAGGGCCAACCAGGAAATGTATGCCATTGGCTTCTGCAACATCATTCCCTCCTTCTTCCATTGCTTCACAACCAGCGCAGCTCTTGCCAAGACTCTTGTCAAGGAGTCCACAGGCTGTAGGACGCAAGTCTCTGGCATGGTGACCAGTTTGGTAATCCTGTTAGTCCTCCTTGTGATTGCACCTTTATTTTATTCCCTTCAGAAATGTGTCCTTGCTGTCATAACCATCGTAAACCTCAGAGGAGCCCTGCGGAAGTTCCAGGACCTTCCAAAAATGTGGCACTTGAGCAGAGTGGACACAGTGATCTGGGGAGTTACCATGGCAGCCACAGCACTCATCAGCACCGAGATTGGTCTTTTGGTTGGTGTTTGCTTCTCCATGCTCTGCGTCATCTTCCGAACTCAGAGGCCGGAGGCACCGCTGCTTGGCTGGGTGGCAGAGTCCGAGACCTACGAATCCCTGTCTGCTTACAAGAACCTGCAAACCAAGCCAGGGGTCGTGGTGTTCCGTTTCGAAGCCCCACTCTACTACATCAACAAGGAGTGCTTCAAATCCACCCTATACAAACAAACCGGGGTCAACCCAGTCTGGGTGAAGGCAGCAAAGAAAAAGGCAGCAAAAAGAATGCTTAGAGAGAAAGAGGTGGGTTCTGGTGACAACCAGACCAGCATCTCCATGGATTTTGTGTCCGAACCTCTGGGGTTTCACACCATAGTGATTGACTGTTGTGCAATGCAGTTCCTGGACACGGCAGGAATACGCACGCTCAAGGAGGTCTGCAAGGACTACAGGGAGATCGGTGTCCATGTGCTCCTGGCCCAGTGCAATCCTTCAGTGAGGAGTTCCCTGATCCGAGGGGAATTCTTTAAAGAGGGGGAGGACCACCTTCTCTTCCACAGCGTGCACCAGGCTGTGGACTTTGCATTGGGCACCCAGGGGCATAGTGGGACCAGTGCTTCTAAGGACTAGCTGTGGTGAGACAGCAAGTTGGAACAAAGCTTGGGAAAAAATGTCTGTGGGTCTGTATATCTATGCAATCAATATGTGTGCACTCAGATAAAAAGGGCAGGGTGGTTCTTAGCACACTGGTTACTGTGCAGTCTGCTTGGATGCTTTAAATTTGCCTGCCAGGTGCAGTGATTCAATAGGCAGTACTGAATGAAGGCAGTTCTTAACTTGGTTATGGCTAATCTGTGACTCTTAAGAGTTTTCATATGGTTGTTCATCTCATTTCTCTTCTCTCTTGAACTTTCAGTGTCCCAGTTCCCCTCTAAGTTTTGATCATCAGCACTGAAGTCTTTCTTGCAACCCTGTCTTTGTGGATGGGGCAGGATTCTGAAGTAGTCTGATCATCCTGTCCAGCTGAAGACCGAGGCAACTCATTTCTTGTCCCTCATTTTGGCATTTCCACACCGTTATGTTTGCTAAGGAATGGCTGACAGGGACTGTTTGCTCTGGTCTTTACTGTGCAGTGTTTGCTTTTTTAACCTTCCTGAATTTGATACAGGTAGATAAATCAAATCTAAACATGCATGAAAAGGTCTTCATGAATAGCTTCTAACCAACCACCTGTCACCTCCAGAGGCTTTGGCACTGTCTCCTAATCCAGCCAGGCCATGGGGGCATGGTTATCTTGTTTTTGCAGGCCTTTATGTGCCTGTGCCTATGGAAACATTACCTCTCTAGTTTGATTTTAAGTATGTTTATTCAGAGGTGACTGCTTAGAAATCTGGTTCATCCTTATGGTCAGTCAGTTGTTTTCCTAATATTTAGGAGCTCTTTAGAATTGTGGGCATTTGATATGGAAAATATCTAGTTCTTGAGCTTCAGCAGAAAACAGTCCCTTATAGGCAGTTTTATATGGCAGGCAAACAGAATCACAGGCACCAAAATGGAAAGGCCCAAATAGATTATCCAACATCTGTCTAAATGGGTTCATGTCACACAGACTTTGGGTGTGAATGCAGGTTTTATTGACTACGTGCTCTGCCATGGACTTTATGCAAGGGGGATGCACAGACCAAGAAATACAGTCATTGGAAAAGCCAAGAAAATTCTTTGATGAACTTTGTTTCACCAGGACAGTGTAAACAGAACTTTTTACTTGGATTTTAAATTATTCAGAACAGTGAAGAGTGCCTGTTCTTCATGCTGAAATCCAAGCACTGGGTAGGAAGAGGTTCTCTTTCCTTACAGTGATAGAATACAATTATGAAGGCAGAATGGAGAGATTAAGAGTGCTTGCTGAGTACCAGCTATACACAGCACATCTTTGGAAGATGGTACTTTCTCCCAGGGGAGTTTACAGTCTGAACTGCAGGTGCTTCACAGCTTTTAAAAGGGAAGGGTGCTGTATACTGACAATGTTCTCATCCTTAATCATTCAAAAATATTAAGTCGGGAGTCAAAAAAGGCATAAAATACAATATGAATTGTGAAACGTTTACTAAATCAAAATATATTTTGAGTTTAGACTGTTTTCTTCTTTTCTGGTTAAGGACCAGTAACGATTCTCTTCTTTCTATGAAAGCTGAATGTCACGTAACACTTCACTCTAGGAGATGGGACCTCAAGAGGATGAGACAGCAGGAAGATAAGTCCTTTATATGTTAACTGAACATGCTACATTTCTTTAGGACATCATAGCAGCCTGTAGAAATACTGGGGGAGGTGGGGGGTGGCTGTAGCACATATTGAAAAGGAGCATATAACTGAGATCTGATGAAAAAGCCTTGATGAAAAATTGCAGCATGTTGTTATTGTCAGTTTTCCTGCCTACCTGCAGCTACTTGTTCTCACCCCTTTTTCCCTCAGGCATGAGCAGGAGAGAGGGAGAGGAGGAAGGAGCAGCTGGCTAGGAGACTTCAAGGCAGGTCAGCCACAAGTGGGACAGAAGTCAAGTAGAAATTTCTCTGTGTGATTCTTTCACTCTCTCCTGTACTCTTTCCATGCTGCCCAGGTGGAAATCTTTTGATCTGTGACCATGCCCAGGTTTGTGTAGCCAAATTCTAACTGAGAAAAGGAAAACCTTTCTTTATTAAGTGATGCTTTTTCAAATCCATTCCTACCTGTGTCAGGAAGGGAGGAATAGCAGTGTTAATTTCGATGTTAGTACTTTCCACAGCTATCAGAATGGATATTTGTAGCTCCTGGGTATTTATTTACATAGAAGCACAATAAAACAACCATGAATTGATTTTCCCAATAATTAAATTGCACTATAGGTAAAAGATGTACTGAAGTGATTTATGTTTAACTAGAGCACATTGTATTTGGCCTCAGTGCAGTTTGCACAGCCATGACTGGCAATGCAGCCTCCAAATTCTCTGAAGGAAAACACAAGAACTAAAATGCAACAGCAAGAACAGCCAGGCAACCCAAAGAAAAACTTCTAATGTTCTTATTTAAGATAACATGCAGAGGTCATAGTATTAATAAGTCTATATTAATGCACACTGCCCTGTTTAAAAGGGAACCAAAATAAATGCCATTTGCCAGAGAGTTCAGTGTAATAGAATCCTCTGGAATTAACTGCAGATTAGAGCTTATTATGGCTGGAATTTCTTAGAACAGTGGATTCCTGCCATTTTCCTTTTAGGCCTAGAATAACCTTTTAGCAGTGACATGAATCTGATTTAAGCCTACTGGCAAGAAGCACATTTTGCTTGAATATGTTTGTGGACCATTTAAAGTAATCCAATTTCATCTTTAGGAATCTGGGACCACTGATTGAAAGCATTTGCCCTAAAGAATTTGTTTTGTAAAGGAATTTCGTATATATCCACACACATCTATATGTGTATGTACCTATGTGTGTGTGTATATATATATATATATATATATATATATATCTTTTGCTGCTGTGTGATGGTTGCAGCAGCTGTCTGTATCCAGTTATGCTTTTGTGATTCTCCTGCTTTTGTCCTGGAAAGGGCTCTTCTGCCTTCTGCTGTTCTAAAAGAACAGTGGAGAACATCTACCAGATTTTTAAAGGGGAAATTTCACTGCCTTCTCTCCTCCCTACCTCACAGCTGAATGTAAACTATAGGAAGAGCAACTCTCAGAACAATTGGTTTGGGGTTTATGCATCTGTCCAGAACAGGAATGTTCTTCCCAGGTGCAAAATTCAGAACCCCAAGCTAGACTGGAAGATCGTATAAATCATTTTATCTTCATTCCCAAAGGTACTAATCAGCAATTATCAGTCTAAATGAAGAATTAGGAGATCATTAGCACATTCATTAGTGACAACAACATGGCATTATGGAAATTAACACTCACAGCCTCAGCTGTACTAAAGACTCCTAGAAATGTCTTAAGCAATCTCCAGCTAAATGTCAGGCTCTTTTTATCTCCTGTGTTGCTGCTATAGATAGTAGTGTCAGTTCCTCTTAATGTGGCAGCTGAACTAATAAATGTTTTACTTGTGTGAGTGTTTTGACAAGAAAACCATTTTAGGTCCACTTCTCAAAACAGGGAAGGGCATCGCAGTGGTGGTTATTTTTGGATTTGTAATGACATTGCCAACCTTAGTCTTGTGTGATTTAGTGATCTTTATTTCCTTGTGAGCCATTGCAGTTCCACCTGCTCCTAATTCAGTGCAAGACCCACCTCCAACTTCTTAGTGTTTCTTTCTGTGTTTTTCTGCAAGACATCGCATATGGTTGACTGTAAATAGAAGAATCATTGGTTTTGTGTATGTTGCTGTTACATGTGACCTGCTGCTCAGTTTCCATGGCAGATCTTTAGATAAGGCTAAAGCTCCTGAACAGAGAGAGGAAAACAACCCCAAAACCCCATGAGTCCTGTGGGTGCTGGGGCTGAGAGAAATGGAGCTGCGGGCAGCTGATAGGGGATGTGTCCCCATGCTGGAGCCTCAGCCTGGTTTGGGACTGGGAGAGGGTTTGTGTAACTGTTGGTGCTGTCCAGTTATTAACTGGAGGTGTCTTTATTACAGGGCTGCTGGGACACAGTGTTGTGCAGCCCTGTGCCTTTCTTGCAGGGAGTGTAATAACAACACAGGACCTGGTTCCTCAGCGCTCTGCTCAGTTCCTCCTCAGTCACTGTCCTGAGAGATGTATGTAAGGGATTTCTGGTTTTATGGTTATTTTTTTGGTCTGATTTTAATCTCAGTCTGTCCCAGGCAGGGCAGCAGAGCTGGCCACGACTGTGCTCCATGCCCACGGAAGGGTGTCTCTCTTGGGAGAAAGCCCACAGCCACGCTTTGGTCTCTGCTCACTCCTGCTGGCTTTTGTCAGGAGACATTCAAATCCACTGAGGATGGGTTTGAAAAGCAGAGGTGAGGTATTGCAGGCAGGAAAATATCCTGGCTGCCACGCTGGGGTTTTAAGCTGCTCCATGCCCAGTAACTGCCTCCCACAGCCTTGTGCTGAGGTTGGCCCTGAGCTCTGCCTGTGCTCGATCCTAGATCTAGTTGAGGGTGAAACTCTTCAGGCAAATAGTCTGTTTTAGGGCATTATCTTCTGCTGTGGGGGTTTTTTTTCCACATGCTTTAGGAAAGTGATTTAAATGCTTGAGGTGATTTACATTTTTAAATATTTTTTTTTTCATTGACATGGCTGAGCCAGTGAAGCTGTGATGCAAATATTCCTCTGCTGCTCAAGCACTACAAGGTACTTTGTGTAGTTTAAGTTTGTTCTGCTGAGTCTCAGTGTAGGATGCTGTTGTGAGACTTCAATATTGATATAATTTTCCACAGGAGAAGGGCTTTGCATTTCTCTGCTGGCATAGACAAAGGGAGTCATGTCTTTAGTGCAGACTTTGCACTGTGAATGACCTTGGTAAATCCCAAGAATTACTTGCACTGGGTCATCATGTTTATAAGCCTTTTTAGGATCAGCCGCTCATGTGAAAATCAACCTGATCTTTACTATTTCAGTCAAATTCTGCCTAAAGTAGAAATAATTGAGTCTTGCTTTTTCATTTGAGATTCTTGCAATGCTAAAAATGAGGCCTCTCGTTAGGTAAAATGGCAAATATTAAATATATATATGTTTAGTTTATAGTATAATTAGTACCTTTCTGTTTTATTTTCTAGAGATTCTATAGGCTGAGGCATATTGATATTCTTCAATGTGCAAATGCACAAAATATTTCAGCATTGAATGGAGAATCAAATCTCCATTGAGGTAAATTTACTGCTAAAAATATTTGAATTGCAGCTCTCTCCAGCTCTGAAAGCACTTAGCTCTTAGTCCAGCTCCCAAATGATCCCAGTATTCCACAAGAAGATAGAAAATACATTTTGCTGAACTTGGGTCCAAGTTTTTGATATCTGATTTTTTACTTAAAGAAGTAAATTTTGTGTGTATTTGAAATGCAAATGAAACATGGTTAAGGAGAGGTAAAATGCCACTCTTTCTGAAAAGCACATGAGTTATCCCTGACCATCATCTCTACTACCTTGGTATATTCTGGGGTATGATTTTTTAAAATTATTTTAAATTCAGAATAATTTTAAATATTTGTGACGTAATCTTTTGCAGAACAAACCAAATGGCAAACTTTGCCTGGATTTTGTTGGAGAATCAGTTTAACCAAACAGGACCTCAGGACTGGAACAGATCACATTGGTCAGCTGACCAGTTTACAAAATAGTTTATGTGTTATTTGAATAAAATGTGGGAAAGTCATATAGCATCTATAAAAAGTCACCTTATTTGGTGGCATCAGTTTTATTTTGCAGTAGTCATCTGTGTTCTGCCATCACTTCTGGTGTCTGTCCTCTGTGTGGTGTTGGCTCTCCTTTACGCTGTCTCTGTCTGAGCTGTATCAATTGTTATTTTTAAATGCTAATGTGCCTTATTGCCATTGTAGAAGATTTATTAGCATGAGAATTTTCTATCAAATATGCTAAAATCATTGGGTTTCTTTAGCACAATTAAAAGATGGTATTTATGTTTTTTTCTGTTGTTCGATGTCTGCTTCATCACAGAGTCACAGGACGGGACAGGTTGGAAAGGACCCCAGTGAGTCACCTGGTCCCACGTCCCTGCTCCAGCTGGGTCATCCCAGAGCACGTGGCACAGGATTGTCTCCTGATGGTTCTGGAATATCCCCAGTGAGGGAGGCTCCACAACCTCTCTGGGCAGTCTGTCACTCACAAAGTAAAGTTCTTCCTCATGTTCAGGTGGAATTTCCTGGGCATCAGTTCCTGCCTGTTGCCTCTTGTCCCATTGCTGGACACCTCTGAGCAGACCCTGATCCATCCTCTGACCCTCCCTGCAGACACTGACAGACATTGTTCAGGTCCCCTCTCAGTGTCTGCTCTCGAGGCTGAACAGCCCCAGCTCCCTCAGCCTTTCCTCATCAGGGAGATGCTCCAGTCCCTTCATCATCTCCACAGCCTATGCTGGACCTGCTCCAGGAGCTCCATGTCCCTCCTGTCCTGAGGAGCCCAGAAGTGGACACAACACTGCAGATGTGCCTCACCAGGGCTGAGCAGAGGACCAGGATCACCTCCCTGACCTGCTGACAATGCTGTTCCTAATGCACACCACGATCCCTTTGGCCTTGGCCCCCGGGACACACTGCTGGTCATGGACAACTTGTTATCCAGCAGGACCCTCAGGCCCTTCCCTGCAGAGCTGCTCCCCAGCAGGTCAGCTCCTAGTGTGTGCCAGTGCCCAGAGCTGTTCCTCCCCAGGAGCAGGCATTTGCCCTTGTTGAATGTCAGATGGTTCCTCTCTGCCTGT